CGCGCGCTGCTCCTCGTCGGTTCCTATCGGTTCCTGGCTTGAAAGGGAGAAGGGTCGTGATACGCCCGATTTACCGGTGCATAGTTCGGTGTACTTCTGGCCTTGAAGAACATAGGGACGGAAACACTTCCGCAGACATCCGTGCAGGGCGGGGTTTGTCCGGCCTTCTCTGTGCAGTGAGCTCCCGCGCGGCACTTTGCTTTCTCAGGGAGACAGCATTTCAGCTAGAGGGAACACACAAAACCTGGAGGACAGCGGATAGGCCGTGTTCGAAGGGTGAGGGGTTGTGCCTTCCGGGTGCGTGCTCACCAAATGAAAGGTCTGGATAGCAGAAGAGGAGATGATTGGAGGGTCATTTGGAAGGGGAAAAGTAACTTGATGGGAAACACATCTGGCTGAGAATAGAAATTGGTCAAAATTCAAACCTTAAATTGGAAGTTTATCCTCTCGTCTGAAATACCAGAATAGCTCATAGAATGCTCCAATATAAACTCCCTTTATGTGTGCTGTGTTTTTCTTACACTGTGGCAAGATCTTGACAGCTGTAGACCATGTTCCTGGGCAGTTTTGTGCCCAAATGCAGCTATACGTACAGGCAGGATGACATTCTGTTTTTCTGCGATGTCTCATAAGGTGTTTGTAATGCACGTAGTATCCAATTATTCCACATTTAAGTTAAGGTTGATATTCTGCAATTAGCTTGCCATCGCAGACCTCTATCTGTAGAAGTCTTAAAAGGGTGTGAAACTACTGGTTTGCATTGCAAGCGATACGAACTCTGTACAGACAGAATTAATTTGCATGCCTCTGCTATTTCAAGACAAAGAGCAAAGAGAAATTTGGGGGGAATGTCAAATGAGAGGGGTCAAGGGGAGGAAATGGATACAGACTTGGAATCAGAAGGCATAGGGTAGATCCTTATGCAGACTTCTGGGGATAAAGATATGAATGTAAAGGAAAGGTGAAATAAGTTGAAGTTGGAAGGGTTTGAGCAAGTCAGTTCTGTAATACATCCTAAAGTTGAGTGTTTTGTGCAGATGCGGAGATTTCTGTATTGGTTTATACGAGTGGCTGACCCATTTAAGAATGCTGTGAGAGTTCTTTTGATCTGCCAATCTCAGTCTGATGTAAGAAAGCCAATTCCCAATCTAAAGTCTGTGTATAGGCCTACATTGATATGCTTATTTGTAGACATTCTGATTTTCACATGCACAAATATTTAGGAAAAAC